GGAATTGTTTTCATTTTCTTCAGCTTCAGTTTGAATTTGCATATGAGCAATTGATGGTCTATTCCACAATCTGCCCCTGGTCTTGTTTTGACTGATGATATAGAGCTTTTCCATCATCTCTTTCCACAGATGTAGTCAATCTGATTTCTGTGTATTCCATCTGTTGAGATCCATGTGTATAACTTAGACATTGGCTACCTAAAATGAGGGGAAATAAAGGTACAAAGTGACTGGCTTACAAGGTTTCAAGAGAGAGTTGAGTTTAAGAGTATGGGGGTGAAGAAAGAGTCCCCACTGAATAGTTTTCATATTGTCTAGATCGGTCTGGTAAAAGGAGCTAGAGATAAGATTCTAGTGATTCAATAGTGAGTAATTGTTATCATGACTAATTGCAACTGTCACAATTGTAAAGGTAGAATTTTTGTAACAAAAAACAGGGAGCAATTAATCTTACAGTCCAGAAACAGAGGACCCTAGGACCATAAAGGGAGAAGAGCACAAGTGGAATGCAAGACCCTATCCAGAGAAGCAGTGACACCAGAGATGGAAGCAGAGATGGGGATATGGAGAAAGGGAGCAGCTGAGGACTCTAGATTCATGGAAAGAGAAAGGCTGTGTGCTGGTGGCCAGGAGGCAGGCTCGCAGAATGTGCAGTTTGGTTGTTTATTATACATTCCTAAGTGTTTTTGTGTACACCCACCACCAAACAAAACAAAACAGAATAGAAGCAAATACTATTGAATGATGATGCACAAAGGAGATTGTAATCATTGCAATGAAACGATGGTGTAAAACCGATGTTCTCCCATGTAAACCATCACTCAGTTCAAAATAAAAACTTAATTAAAAAAAAAAAACAGCCCCAGAAATTCTTTGGCTGGAGTTTTACAGAAACAGACTATCACGTCATTGTCCCACAGAGCGGCTGGTGGGTCCAAGTGCCTAAATCCACATACGTCACAGCGTCCCAGGTGTCATATGCGTCACAGCGTCCCAGGCGTCATGTGCGTCCCAGCTTCCCAGGCGTCAAAAGGCAGGCGAGACCCTCCAGCACTGAAAGCCTCTTGTCAAGAGCACAGCACCACAGAGCTACGCCCCAGCAGAATTGTAGGTTACAGGACCAGGACAAATCCGCAAACCTACCCTTTCCCTACCATATTGAGAGCACGTTGATGCCGTGGTACACTCACATCACAGCATGACTAAAACCCCAGTCCGGGCAGTTTCTCCCTGTGGCAGAAACACTTTAAAAAAGCTTAATTTAAAAGGACTGTGGAGCTGTGGTAGTGTAGTGGTCATGAGTCGGGCTGCCAACCTCAAAGTCAGCAGTTCAAAACTACGAGCAGTTCCGCGGGAGAAAGATGAGGCGTTCTGCTCACATAAAGATTTACAGCCTCGGAAACGCCGACCCCATGGTACTTACCAAGAACCAACAAAAAGGACTAACACTTCTGGTGTGGTGCTGTAGGATTAGCACTAGACTATGAAACACAAGGTGGGTGGTTCAAACCCACCAGCGGCTCCTTGGAAACCCTATAGCGAGTCACTGTGAGTCAGAACCGACTCAACGTACTTTACAACAACAGATAGCACACGGATGCTCATGGGTCCTGAGGAGTCAATGCTAAAGGGCCTGGTCCTCACCCCGACACCCCTGTCTACTGTAGTCCAGTGGGTCTCAGCATTGGTCTGCTAACCACAAGGTCAGCAGTTCAAACCCACCAGCCACTCTTGGAAACCCTATATGAGGTTGCTCTGAGTCTGAACCAACTCGACAACACTTACAGCAACAACGACCCTACCCAGGCCACAAATTAGCAACTGGAGCTCTCTCCCCTCATTTCTTCAGCAAGGTGAACAGTTGAGTCTGAGACTCAGGATGCTCTGAGGTCAAGCCCACGGCCACCATCGACCCCGCCCCAGGTCCTATGGTGAGGATGAACTGCCATCACTGGACTGTCACCCACGATCAGAGTCCAGGACCGCTGTGCCTGTCAGAGCAGGCTGTGTTTCGTGGGTTCTCAATGGCTGCGTTTTCAAAACTAGATTACCAGGTCTTTCTTCTGAGGAGCTTCTAGGTGGACTTGAACTGCCAACCTTGAAGCGAGCAGCCAAGTGTGTTGTCCATTTGCATCTCACGTTGTGAAGACAGGCTAACTTGGCTCAGAAGTAGCCCTAGTGGCACAAAGAGGTAAGCATCGGGCTGCTGACCTGAAGGTCAGTGGTTTGAACCCACCAGCTGCCCCTCAGGAGAAAGATTTACGGTCTCGGAAATGCGGCTAAGAGGCAGTTCTACTCCGTCCTAGAAGATTGCTGGGTGGGGATTTGAGTCTGTGCCTCAGGAAACATGCTCTGTCATGCTGACAAGGGGACGCATCTGCGGTGACAGAGCTTGTGAGACCACAGGTTAGGAAGAGAAGGTGCTGAGCAGAGTACACTCGGGCGAGGGCAGTGGGAGAGGAAGGCCGGGAGCCTGGACCAAGAGATGGGCAAGGCCTCACACCTCACGGTTTCACTGCAGAGAATGCCACCCCGACAGGCTCTGCCACACTGTGTGTACACGCTGCAAAATGTGCCACAGACACTCCTCCTCACATGTGCACACTGCCCAACGTCTGTCCCAGACACTCCGCCACGGGAACATACACGATACCTGCCGACACCCAACCTTCGCACAAGGCTGCATGGCTGCCCACAGCCAGGAGCAGAAGTTGCTCCTGGCATCACCCACGATCAGCGTTCCTAAAGAAGAGGCTCAACACGCTTCACTTTCTGGTCAGATGGAGACATACTCCCTGTGCAGGGAGAGCCTATGTAGAACATCCCAGGGTAAGTACGCATCTCTGCCCAGTGTGTTGTAAGGACACCCCCGGGGCTAAAATGACCCTCCACACAGACGCGTCATACCCGGACAAGCCTGGCGGAGGGGTTCCACCACAGCAGAGTAAACGCGTTTACACACTGACCCCGCCACGCAGGCTCCCTGCCCCCCACCCAGAAGTCCATGCACAGGGAGACCTACTTGTTTGGGGGTGTCTGCGGAGGTGTGAACATCAATGGCTCGGAGTCCATTTGACTCACACAGCACTGTGGGGGCAAAGGGTGGGAGATGAGACCCGTACCCATCACGGGCCACACTCAGGAGATCATCTCCATTCTGACTGATCACTGGAAGGACCAACTGAAGGGTGTCTGTCTGTAAGGTACACACACAGGGGTCCTGTCTCGGCACATCACAGTGGGCCACCCTCTCCGAGGACCAGACCCCGGCCCCTACCCTCAGGCATTCCTGGCACCCTGCCTGATGTGGCCATTGTTGTTGTTGTTGTTAAGTGCCATCGAGTCGGGTCCGACCCATAGCGACCCTGTACAGGGTTTCCGAGGGTGTAAATCTTTACGGGAGTAGAAAGCCTCATCTTTCTCCCGCGGAGCGGCTGGTAGTTTCGAACCGCTGACCTTAAGGTTCGCAGCCCGATTCGTAACCACTACGCTACCAGAGCTCCTTTAGCAAGCTTTATAAAAGGGGGGGGGAGGGGCGACGGATCTGCAGGAAGCCCTAACCATGTGCCCAACCAGCGCCCATGCAAAAAGGAGGTGCAGCGGCGTGTTCTGCAGAAGTAGATGCTGGTGGCCATGTGGTACGGTAGCATGTTCACATCTGGGGAGGCAAACAGGCTCATCTCACACTCAACCACCAGGCAGCTAGATGCTAAAAAACAAAAGCCAGTTTCATCAAACCGTCGTGTGTAGCATCTGCAATACCAGGAGAGGTGACATCATCCCACCACAAACGCAGCCCTCGAGCTCTTCCAAGTCACAGTGGCCCACGGGTCGCAGACCAGAGCTACCCTATAGGGTCTTTCTGGCTGTCGTCTTTAAAGACCAGCAGTGCATTGCTAAGAACAGCCTCACCCCTCCTCGGAAAGCCTACCCAGGTCGCTGTGAGTCGGGACCAACTCCACAGCACATACCAATAGCACAGCCTCAAAGGGACCAGGCTGCCAGCCCAGTTTCCCTTGGTGCCACTGGGTAGATTCGAACCACCCACTTTGCACTTGGTGGTCGAGTCTCAACCACGTCCACGTGCACCTTTACCTCAGCCCAGTGCCAACACACCCACTGCTGTTGTGGAGCTTCCAACTCACAACTCTATACCAACCGTACAGACAGTAGGACTGAGGCTTGGCACTCCTGAGGCAGTAAACCTTTAGGGGAGCTGGCGGCCTCATCTTTCTCCCACGGAGCAGCTGGTGGGTTTGAACCACCAACCCTGCAGATGCAGTGCCCCCCACAGAGGAGGACATCTAAACCCACCTGGAGTGGGGGTGGGGGCAAGAAGGCACCTATGCTGGGCCGTACCTGTGTGCGCCCGCGTGTGGGCCCTGAGGTGGCTGGGCTGCGTGAAGCTCTTCCCACACTCGGTGCACACGAGCTCTCCCTGGCGGGCCTGCATACGAAGCATCCCTGTGGCGACAGTATGGGGGGGAAGGGGGAAAGCGTTACACCAGTGTCACCTATCTGTCTGACACGTCCTGACACGCGTGGACCATCCCCAGGACCCTAAGTTAACACCACTGGCAGCCCCCGTCGTCCATCCAGCTGCACATGTCGGATGTGGCATCACCAGACCATCACCAGCCCTACCAGACGTCATGGTGGAGACCAGGGTGCCAGGCACCACGGAGCCTGTGGGACCGGAGCTGCTACTCCGGGCGGGGGTCCAGGGCAGAAGTTAGATAGGTCCTCAGCCAGAAAAGCAGAGCCGCCTCCCTCCCAGGGCCAGGTCTCCCGGGGCCTGACCCGTCCTCACACCCCTCGGCCATGAGGACTCCTTAGAAGCAGGACAGAGCAAGCAGCCACGGGCCTGCGTGTGTGCGGTCAGCCGGACTGCCCAGCGGGGCCCCCGGGCTGCAGTCCACACACAAACAGCCTGCCCGGTCTTTGTACTGAAGAGCCACGAGTGGAATTGACCAACCAGGGTCCCCGACTTCTTTGTTTACGCTGAAGAATAGTTAACTGCAGAGGTGACCCCCTGGGATTGCTTTACAACTATACAGATAAAAACAAACTTAGTAACTGAAAAAGAAAGAGACCCCTATAGGTACCAAGCAGAGTCTGGGGACCCTCATGGGCGACTCCGCGAGTCAGAATCGACCCCACAGCAATGCATTTGGTTCTCTGGTTTCCAAGTTAGTAATAAAACTTTTGAGAAAAACAGGTTTTTTTTAAAAACATATCTTCCATGTTATTCAGTAATTCTGTGTCTGAGGCCTGAACATTGGTTTAAAAGATGAACAAAAGGGTCCACCCCTGGGAATGTTATCAAGCTAGCTGGAAATACAACACTCAGTGTTATTTTTCTTGTCCTAATTTGAAGTGTTCCAACAAACAGAAAGACAAAAGTCATGTTTGCATGATAGATAGGATTTATGGGTATCATCAAGGAAATCCTTGAACTGTTATGTTCAAAGAGCCTGGACTTCTAGGACCCACGGACACTGGAGGGGTCCCTAAGATTAGGGCCCTGGAAGGTTTAAACCCTAAGTAGAAAATAGCACCTGAAATCTCCTTAAAACAAAACTGTAGGTTTGCTCTAAAAACTCAGAACAGCTACCTTGAGACCTGTGAACTGAAGAGTGATCCCCTGAGATCGAGCTGACAAGCTGGGGGGCTAGGCGTCCATGTCAGCGGAAGAGCGGAGACTGGAGTAGAAATAACAACAATGCTGGCGCAGTGTGAGGGACGTAGCCAGTGTCGTGGAGAAGCACACCTAGAAACTCACAGGGGCGCCTGCTCTGCTCTGCTCTGCAGACTTCTGACGAAGACAGTCTACTTGTAAACATCTACATGGCAGTGTCCCTAAGGGTCCCTGAGAGTCCTGGATGCCCCAGGTCAATACCATCTCGCTGCCTCTTTCTAAGACGTTTCAACAAGGTAGCATAGTGTGGGCTGCAGATGGATGCGGTGTGGACGGCCCGTGAGACACCCGAAGGGCAGCCGGAAAAGAAAGCAGGAAGTGAAAGAACTCCCTCGATCCACGTTTAGCATGAGACGCTTGCCAAATAGACACACGGAGGCCTTCGGGGCTAACGTTCCTTCACTCGTGGCTAGGCAGGCCTCCGCTGTAACTGTGACTTGCTCCACGGTCTTTCTGTCATAAACACTGCCCGGTGGAGTTCCGAGGAAAACCACCTCAGAATCATGCCCGGAGACTGTACCTTCCCGTAGATGCTGTGTCTACACAAGACACCCAGGAACGACAATGGCCAACAAGATGTCGTTATGACATTCCAACACCACACCCTCAGTGCTTCCAACAGTCTGCTGGATACTAGTCTTCCACTGGTATGCCACCTCGTCACCTCGTCACTGCTCACAAATACACGCAGCCTTTCACACATGGCCACACACTCACACGCCCCCTCACACCCTCTCATTCCACACACACTCACGCTCATG